ACACACACACACACACACACACACACACACACACACACACACACACATACACATATATATTTATATTCCAGTATCCTGCCAGACTCAGGTGTTTCCTACACCCACAACAGCACCAAAGCAGCAACCACAGGTGTTCCAGTCTCACTTCACAGACTTTTATCAAGCTGGACTTCCACTTTTCCTCCCAGCCATGGATGTTCTCACGGACCCTGGACAGCTTCAAAGCAGCCTGTTCTTTCTGGACTTGGCCAGCATTTCAGCCTTTTAACCTCCGTACAGTTTCCCCAGTGTCAGCAGGAAGTAGCCAGAAGAGAATCTCTGCCTGTTATTCACTTATTATTAACAAAAGGCTGGAATGGTGTGCTTCAGGACCAGGACAAACAGCTCCACGTCCTCCCAGCTTTCCTCAGTCCCTACCTGCTGTAGTGTGTGGCTGGCAACTCTTTACCCTGAACTTTCCAGGGCAGGGGCTTCCCCTCCTCCTCTTGACCACGTAATCTGGACATTTTGTTGCTATTACGTTTTTATTCCTCTCTCTCTTACCCCCTTGCATGGCAGCCAAGAGCTGCCTCCAATGAACCTACATTTATATACTTTAACTTGCCTTACATGAGAAGCAGCCCAAGCTCCTCATTTTTTAATTATAGAAAAAGGGAGAAATGTTAGTATTTAGGCAGCCAGCTTCTGGGTTACCTAGTAATCTATGATGTCATCATGTGTTGCCTGGCAGGTGTCATACCTGGCAGGTGTGGTTAAGTTGCTCCATAAAAGGACCAACCCACCACTTTGTCTCTCTCATGCCTTCTTGCTCTCTTGCTTTTCCCTTCTCTCTGTCAGGGCAACCCCTCTCCCACTACATCTGTCTCTCTGTCTCTCCCCTTCCCTCTTTTTTTACATCTCCACCTCCATCCAATAAACCTCTTTGGATTTAAGATTGGTTGTGTGTTCGTTCAGCATTTTTATATAAATACTAACACTTTGTAGCTAAAATGGGAAGTTTCCCTCTCACATAATATCAGTGCTCATTAATTAGGATTATGAGATTAATTGGTATCCCTAAATTAGTCTTAAGCATAAGCATTAAAAAATGCATTAATGTGTATTTTTGGTGGGGGCATTGATGATTCAAATGTAGGTCAGAAGACAACTCTGTAGAGTTAATTCTTTTTCCACTTTTGTGTGTGAATACGGGTTTGATTCAAGTTTTTGTGCTTGAGTAAGAAACACTTTTTTACCCGATGATCCATCCCACTGGCCAAGCATTTAAAAAAAACTAATAAAAAAACCAAGGTTTTCCCATGTAGGTCTTGACCTCATATCAGTCAGTCCTATGCATCACCATGCCTGTCTCCAACTTAATGTTACAGTAGCTACACAGATTTATGGCATGCAGCAATTACCTCTTCCTCCCATTCCACTGCTGTTGCGGACTGGTCCTGAAGGGGCTGGTCTTTTAGGAGGAGGACCACCACTTCGTGGTGGTGGTCCTCTTTTTACTGGAAGAGGACCCCTTGAAGAACTCATGGTAAAATTCATGGAATAGCCACCATCGTCTATATTTGAGCAGAAAGAAAATACATTAACACAATAATTCAGAAAAAAACTCAGAAAGAATTTGTTTCAAAACGCCTATAGATTAGGAAAATAAAACAGCCTGAGTAAGTTCCAATTCTGCCCTTCATTTTTTTCTTCCTTTCTTTTTTTTTTTTACTATGTGGTCCATGGTTTTAACACTGTAATTTAATTTAGGCCTTCCACTTTTTCCTTTCAAGTCATGACCAACACTACAATAATAGCGTGTGGTAAACAGTCTCCATTTCAAAGGCTTTGAAAAAAGAATGCACACCATCAGTGCAGATCTAGGGCTTTTAACTTAAACGCAAAGCCTGAGTTTCAATCAAATCATTACCCATGTGTCCTCCACGTGAAGGGGGTCCTCTCACTCCTCCACTCCCTCCTCTTGTTCCCCGAAGACCTCTGGGAGGGCCTCTGCTTCTTGGAGGTGGAGGTAGTCCACGCCTGCCACTTTCAAATGATGGTTTGGTGGCTTGCTCCACCTTGATGGCTTTTCCATCTAAGGACTTAAAAAAAAAAAGAGGAAAACAGAATTAAATCTTATCAAGACTTAAAAACACAGTTTTGTCTGCCAAGTACTATACCAAAAAAAAAAAAAAAGGTGGAAATAGTATTTCTATAAATAACGCTTTTCCATTCATTTAAAATTTTTACTAGATGCAAGAAATTCACTACACAACTGCTTAAGAAAATTCAAGTCTAGGTAGGTGTTCAGGTTGTTACCAAAAAAAATAAAAAAGAGCTAGGTTTTCAAATTAAGGTTTATAGATTCCAAGATAATTTCCAGTATCACATAACATCATCATATACTGCTCTGGACTCACTCTTGTTAGGCACATAACTTTTAGCCTTAGCCACAAAATTTCGTTGTGGGATCACAATGAAATTCACAACAGAGACTGGGCACGTTTTTGTTTGTTTGTTTGTTTTTTGTTTTTTTTAATTCTAGCATGCTGGTGGCAAAGGCAATCAGCCTGATCTACATAGTCAAGACTATAAGACTATAATTGATTTAAGACTGACTCAAAAAAACAAATAAAATCCAGAATAGTACTACCAGTGCTAATGATCAAAAGGATATATATTCCAGAGCTGCTATGGACTGAGGCTTGGATAATATTAAAGTGATTTTTGTTACCAGCAAACACCTTTTTATTAAGCAATCATACCTTTCCATTCATGTCTCTGGCAGCATCCTTTGCATCTGCTGGGCTTTCAAAAGTCACAAAAGCAAAACCTCTTGACTTATTGGTCTCTCTGTCCTTCATCAAAAGCACTAAGACAGTTGGGGGAGGGAGGAAGTTACTTTCATTCAAGCAAAAATAACCAGAGCACATTTACAAAACACAAGCTCAGAACTTCTTAGAGGACAAAATACATTATCACATCAGATGATCAATGGATTCAAATTCATCACAGCTTGTCTTTTAATTATGATAATACTGCACATGATTTTAGTTAACTCACCTTCCACTATTCGTCCATATTTGCCAAATACTGCTTCAAGGGCTTTTTCATTTGTTTCTGTGTTAAGCCCACCAATAAAGAGCTTTCCTGGACGATCTGCTTCAACCATTTTTTTCAACCAATGGGAGTCTTCTGAAAAATAATATTATCATCTCTCTGGAGAAAGTTCCCAAAGTTTATTGAACAGCTTAATTGTGGCTCATGTTTAGTCAAATCTTTATTTTTTACAAACTAAAGACACAGATAAACCTCAATTACATTAGAAAACCCCATGAAATACAATACTTTGGTTAAAGGTGAAGTGCACTTTTCACTAACCAGGTTAAAAGGGCCTGCCTAATTTAACAAAACTCTTCATCTGCCCTGTTTTTAACGAAAGAACAGCTCCTCAACATTTGAAAAGGCAAATTTTACTTTTAAATGTATTTTACTTTCAGTACAAGGTTGCAGCCTTAGAGTGCAGGAGTTAACAGACTAAGGCCGCCACACCCGGCTATTGTATTGATCTGTTATCTTTGAACGTTTCGTTACTTGTCACCCTATTCGCTAACCCCCACTCCCTGCAGCGAAGGGTACAAAAGACTTCCCCCTATTCATTCAAGGTCACCAGCCAGAGGCACCAAGAAAAGACCAAGCCCTTTTCTCGGTTAGCTTTCCTACTTAAGTTTAGGCACAAATCTCAGGGCTAGAACAAAGTCGCCGCACCTAACCCGACAAAAGATTGTCGGCTGATTGAAAAGATAAAAGTACCAAAGTCGGAAAATAACCGAGCTCAGAATCACACACGGTTAACACTCCTTCCCATCGCCTGCACCTAATTAAGACTCAATTAAAAACCGCGTGTTAAGGACAAAATGGCGACACTTGGACCCAACCCAAAACCACTCACAACTGCCTGGCTAACTAAATTTTGCCTTTGACACCGGTAACAAAAACCCAAAAGCCTTCCTTTCCTTATCGCCAAGAACCAGAGGAACGCGCAGAGAAGTCCACCAGCCCATCATTAGCACAGGCGCTCTCCTGGTGCTGGGTCCCGCGGTCGCTGATTGTCCTGTCCCACCTACAAAGCTGCGCCCTCTGCCCTCCCGCGACAGGGGACAGCTAAACCTTCGGGAGACGCACAGAAGATAATGGAGGGAGCCCCTAGTGTGTTGCTTCCACCCCTTCAAGCTTTAAATAGGTTGGCATCTTTGGGCGTCTTAAAATGGCGCCTGCCACCACTATCTCCAGGGAAACAAATGATATCCAGTCTTATCGTGAGAAGTCTGTATAGAAAACAGGTCAAGGAAAGGAAGCACCTACCGAGGGGACTGCAGTGGTCTCAGGCTTCTAGGAGATCGCCGGCAGGACCCTCCAAGCCGCGCTGCACCAGTGACAGCTACCGATTTTCAGACCAGAAAAGAAAAGACGCTAGGACTACTGCGCATCGAGGGCGAACAAAGGAGACGGCAATCTTTATACTACCGGGGAAACGAGGCTGAAGAACCCGGATGGAAATTAAGCTTAGAATTTGAAGCACGAAGGGCGGGAGGAGAGTGGTTCCCAGGCTTTTCATTGGCAGTCTCCTTTGTCATTCACTATTTGCTCCGCCTTTCCCGTGCCTCTTAAAGTTCTAAACGTTGCCCGATTTTAACCGTTTGTCCTGCCCCCACCCATTCTCCTCCTAGGCGCCTTTTATCCTTTTGCTAAAACAGTGAATCGGATTTATTGAATAAAGATGTAAATATATATACTGAGCGACCTAGTAGGTGCAAAACTCTCACTTTTGCATAAAAATCTTAATTCCAAAAGCAAAGTGAAAATAGTACAACGTCAATGTTGTAGAACACTCAAACAAAGAAGTTTAGTTGCTACTCTATAACTGCCTATATTTTCTTGAGCGATAACTAACAGAATGGGAAGAAACTGGTAAATAAATGTTAAGTGAAAACATAACTTGAATGGCATCACAGAAAAATCATTCATATAAAGCAATAGAAACACCTACAAGATTGATATACAACCAAGAACAAGTGAGACCAGAGAAGGTACTTCAGGGTTAAGACTGCCAAAGAAAAATACCCGATAATAGTTAGGGTGTTAGCCCACGCCTTTAATCCCAATATTTGGGAATCCTCGTGCCTCTGCCTCCCTAAATGCTGGGATTAAAGGCGTGCTCCACTCTGACAGGCTTGTATTCTAAATTTGTATCTGCTTTGTGGAGGGAAAATTTCGCCCGTTTTACTTAATTTTTTTTAATTTGTCTTTATTTTTTTAAAGATTTATTTTTTAGTATGTATACAGTGTCCTGTCTGCATGTATGCCTGCATGCCAGAACAGGGCACCAGATATCACTATAGATGGTTGTGAGCCACCATATGGTTGCTGGGAATTGAACTCAGGGTGCTTCTCCCCATCTCCCTCCCCCTCCTCCTCTCTTTCCTCCTCCTCCCTACCCCCTCCCTTTTGCTTCCCCCACCTCCCTTAGTTTTCCTAGACAGGGTTTCTCTATGTAGCCTTGGCTGTCCTGGACTCGTTTGTATACCCGGCTGCTTGTATCAAACTCACCTGTCTCTGCCTCCCAGAGTGCTGGGATTACAGGCGTGTTCCACTGCACCTGGCTTGCTTCTTTCTTCGCAAGACTGCTGGGTTTACAGGCGTGTGCTGTCATACCTGGCTTTCAACTTCCACTTGTCCTATGACACCAAACACTGACTTAATACTTTTGCCCCATTACCCCTATTAGCTACAATTTATTTGTTTAAAAGGCAGAACTGTCCATCCCATGCCAATAAAAGGGCAAGCCAAAGATAGCCACAATGTTTGCAAAACCCCCTGTACAAAATGTCTTCGATATGCTTAAACACTAAAGGTAAAAGGGAGCTTATATAAAGTTTGGCTATAAAGACATAACTGCCCATGCCATTTCAAAAAGGGGGTAAGCCAAAGATAGCCACAAACAAGGTAAAAATACAAGTACAAGATGCCTAGGGTATGTGCGAACTCTAAAGGTAAAAGGGAGTTTGGGTATAAAGGCATAACTGCCCGTCATATATTAAAAAGGGGGCAAGCTGATAAGAACCACAACCAATGTAAAAACCCAGGTACAAGATGCCTAGGGTATGCTTAAACTCTAAATTAAAATAGAATTTGTATAAAGATTACTTAAAACATGTCTTTTCTATTTCTCAAGATAACTGGCTTATCTCCTAATAATAGGAGATAAGATAAAGGCTTAGCCTAATACAACAGGTGCTCAAGAACCCAAAGAGGATATTTCTATATATACAACCTTGTTTTGATTTCAACATGATAATGATTATATGTTCAAGAATAATGGTGACTTATATTGCTGATCCTGCAACATGAGAATAGCTCTGAAATTGACTGAGACATGGATGTCTATGCATAGCCAATAATTCTTATTGGCTACAGAATCCCCATGACATGTACATGTCATCTTTTCATATGACATAAATATAGACTTACAGATGTCTTTCTTCTGTTCATACAAAGAGCAGAGAGGCATTCTTAATTGATCTGTGCATCCTTCACATTCTCGTACATTTACACTTTTAGAACTATATAATTCTTGTGAGAAATTACATATTTTCAGAACAAAAGATCTGGACACCAATGATGCTGGATCAAATTTGGCAGGACTCACTCATCCTTCCAGCATGCTGAGATGCTGACACATCTGTTCCAGCATCCTGCATGTTCCAGCATTCTGCTTGTTCTAGTCTCCACGGATTCAGTTGTTATCCTTCACCAAAGCTGCTCCCAAGAGAGCTTTGAAGAAAGCTACTAATCTCAATTGGTCCATCATTTCAGACTATTGCAAACAGGATTTCTATTAAGCGGGGAATTTCTCAAGATTTAGAGACTGGACCACAAATGTTATAGCTAGCTTGCTTAACCATTTTCCCCAATTTCCTTTAGGTCTCTAAGCAGGATTTCTACATGTCCCTAAAACAGCTAAATTTAATCTATGAGAACTACTCCCCATTTCCCTTAAGGAGGTTGGGTATGTTTTTGTTTGTTTTCTGGGGTTATAAATATTTATTGTAATAAGTTATTAATGGCCATATTCAGAGAGAAAATGAGGTTAGACTCAAGGTTTTCTCTTCTTTTTTCTTTTCTCTTTCTTTCTTAGATAAGGAAGAAATGGGTGAAAAGAAAGAGAGAGGAATACAGGGATATTTTGTATGCATAATAAGACAGACAGTAGATTATTATGTCTACTCAATTTAAGGCCTATTTGTTATTCTCAAATAAGGTTATTTTTAACTCATTAGTATAGGATTTTGTTTATTGATGCGTAAACAAGTCTATTTTTGATACATTGGTATAAATTTCAGTATATTTACACAAATTTATGGTTCACTTTCAATACTTTTCAACTACAATTGCAAACTATTACGATATTAGGTAATACAACTTAATTGTTAGTCAATCAACTTATGGTCATGTCAGATGCTAGTCTAGTTTATCACGAAAATATACATCGTAGGTTTAGATAGATATGATTCTATAGATAAATAAATTATATAAATATAGATAAGTCTCCAAAAACCTCAAAGATCTACAGAATATGGCATTTAGAAATATTTTTATTATTTTAAAGATTCTTGACAATGAGACATGCCATCTCCTGGCATTACCTAGACTACCTCAAAGAAGATAATGAGCATTGGAAAACCTCCATATGGAGATGGCTTTAAATATGGCAAACAAGCCATCAGGGTTAAAAAAAGAAAAGGAAAGGAAAGAAAAGAAAAGAAAAGAAAAGAAAAGAAAGGAAAGGAAAGGAAAGGAAAGGAAAGGAAAGAAAAGAAAAGAAAAGAAAAGAAAAGAAAATGCCTTTGCTTCACTACAGACACAATTCTGCTTAGAATGGGCAAGCTTAAATGCAGGCCATGTTGACTGCCTGACTCTGCCAAGACAGGGTAAGCAAGTTCTAAATAGTTCTTGCTTTACACCTGACAAATATACTGAGCCAAAAGGCTGAAGATAATGCTCCAACATTATAGAGAGTTTTGGATGGTTGTTTAGGCAGCAAACAGTCTTTCTCTTTTTTTTTGCTTTGATATGATTATTTTTTTAATTAATTACACTTTATTCACTTTGTATCCCCCCATAAACCCCTCCCTCTTCCCCTCCCGAGGTGATCAAAGAGCAGGCCAATCAGATTATGTCAGAGGCAGTCCCTCTTCCCATTACTATGTAACCCACTTGGACACTGAACTGCACGGACTATAGCAGGGGTTCTAGGATATCTCCATGCCTGGTACTTGGTTGGAGTATGAGTCTCTGGGACCAAACTGTCTCTTTTAATTTTATAATTTTTGGAAGCTCCTAGCATGCATTTGCTATTTACTTAAGTAATTAATTTTATTCCTTCTTAAGTCTTTAATGTGGTTGAAGATTAAATAGTCATAATATTACACTTAGCTGAGTTGTTAGGATTAAAATTAAAAAGATGTGTTAGATCTAGATAGATGTTATTAGGTTCATAGATGCAAACTATAAAAATAACTTAGGTACAAAAAGTTAGACTCATATTTTTCTTCAAGACATTTTCTTCAAGATTGCCAAATAGATTTAGACTAGACATTATATATACTATATATATTTGCGTATTAGTTTTTTATAGTTGTTTCATAATTATTCTTACTGTAAAAAATGACCTTTTTATTTAGACAGAAAAGAGGAACTGTTAGAGGTTGATCTGATGCATGTTATTAGCCCTGTCTGGGAATACCTATCTGTGTTATGTAAACCTACCTGATTGGCTAATTAAATAGCCTATACCTGGGCAGGGCAAAATAGGATAGGCATGGCTAAGGTTCCCAGGCTTGAAGAGGACAGAGAGAATCACAGGAGACAGATAGATGGGAATAGAGGAAGAAGGAGAAAGCCACAATGGGTTAACATGGAGAAATAAGCATATGGGCCTAGAGAAAGGACTCCAGCAGTGGTGTAAAAAGGCCCAGATGAAGAATAAAGCAAGTACCATGGGAATATGTATGGAAAGTTGTCCAGATGAGGAGAATTAAGGTAGATGGCATTGGTTGGGGCAGGGAGATGGATGGTGAGGAGATTGAGACAGTGTAGGTAGAAATATCTGCCCGGCCCATGATAAATAAGGCAATTATAAAATCTAACACATATCTGTGTTATTATTTGTGATAGTCGGTTAGATAACATTGCCATGATAATCATGGGGCTAACAATAAACATTATATGACACAACACTCATTTTTTTTCAAATTTACTACAACAAAAGATAGTTCGGAGTGGTCTTGTATACTCTTCATCCAAACTCTAATAATGTGACCATCTTAAATGATTATGTTACTTTGACCAAACTACAAAATCAATATTAGTATAAGGCTATTAGGTAAACTACAGGATTAGCGTTTTACCAGTTTCTTATTAGTGTCCTTTTAAGTTGCAAGATCCAACATTACTTTTTTTTTTC